TTGCTGTGAAAAATAAAAACATATTAAGCGTTTAAAAAGCAATTTAAAAGTGCTTTTTCGATACATTAATACACTTTCGCTTATTTATAGCAAATATTTGTTGTATTAATAGTCTCAGCGATAAGCGAGCGATTAGATTACGGCATAAATTGTGTGTAATTTCGAGATTGAGATTTCATTTTGACGTTTAATAATAGACACTGTGTTTGAGGTTTTAGTCACCACTAGTTTGAGTGTTAAATTGTCACTATATTTGCAATAATCATAATAACAATAATAGGCTTACGATTGAACAAACAGTTTTTCACTCAATGATAAGCGAGTGTATTGTAAATGTTTCGTAGAGATAATGAGTGCACTGTATGTGTGGTTCAAAAGCGATTGGAAATGTGTTTTGAGAGTTGGAAAAAGTTTTTTGCATTTTTATTAATACAAATTGCTTTTTCGCTTTTATATCACCGGTAATACAAACTCATGCATACACTGAACTCTCGCTATAATGAACTGATTTATGAAGTTTTTATTAACGATGATTTCACGGTAGACGTGAAAGTGTTGTTTTGTGTAAATATGTATTTTGCGAGCGGTTTGTGTCGATTCATAATTGTTTGTTCATTAGTGGCGGTGAGCTATATGTATGAACGCGTGGTTCACTATAACGAGTAATGTTTTTAAATGTGAACATTATTTGTAGTTTTTTTGTATGAATACACAGTATTTGACTTTTTAATGATAATATATTCCCCATTAAATCATTGGCTGTATTTGTTTTGTGTGAATGTGTTTCTGGCGTTTAGAGTCGACTACTAATAAAAAGTGTCGAATGGATAGCAAAGGGGACTCACGTAGGAGTAGTGATAGTAATAACAGTGCAAAACAGCTACCGGTGCCGTCAACAACGCCAGACATATCGACGTCGAGTAGTGCGGACTCTAAGGCACCGGTGGCCGAGACGTCGGAGTTGGACGACGTGATCGCGGCGTTAAGAGCCGGTGATGAAGAGGCAGCCAATGAGAGGGAGTCGTTGACAGGCGATGACAGGTCGACGCCGGGATCCGCGAGACAACAGCGCACTAGACGTAAGCCGAAGCGATGGGATGACGACGAAGT